GGTAAAGCTGTAAGTCATTGAGCCACGTATCAAACTAGAGCGGACGGCCCTCAGGATCAAAGGTGAGAACACTGAGACAAGCGATACCTAGAAGAGCAGGGTGACGCGCGACCAGCAGGGAAGCACACAGGCAAGGGCGGCACGGCAGGCAGGGCGGCGCTCTAGGGAAGCGCACATGGCAGAGTGGGGCGGCGCACGGCTAGGGAAGAGCGGCGCGCGGCCAGGGCAGGGCGGTACGGCGGTCAGCAGGGCGGCATCTAGGCAGGGCAGGGTGGTGCTGCAGCCAGCAGAGCGGCACGCGGGCAGGGCTGGGTGGCGCAGCGGCCAGCAGGGCGGCTCGCGGGCAGGGCAGGGCGGTGCGGCGGCCAGCAGGGCGATGTGCGGGCAGGGAAGGGCGGCACGGCGCTAGGAGGGCGGCACGACTGGCAGGGCAGTGCGGCGCGCGGCTGGCAGGGCGGCGCAACGGGCAGAGCACGGCGGCGCGATGGCTAGGGGAGTGCACATGTGGCCAGCAGGGCGGCGCGACAGGCAGGGCAGGGCAGCGTGCGGCTGGCAGGGTGGCGTGACGGGCAGGATAGAGCAGCGCACGGCCAGCAAGGCGGCGCGACGGGCAGGGCAGGGCAGCGCGACTGGTGGGGTAGGGCAGCGCGACTGGTGGGGTAGGGCGCTACGGGCAGCGAACTAATCGCTGGGCCCTAAAAAAAACGGTCATGGAACAGGACCTGCTCTGAAACCATGTCAGAGTCTAGACGAAGGAAATATTGTATTGAGAAGAAAGTTGGTACAAGTACCAACCCTAATTGGGTTGTACCCCATATAGGCTACCCCACTACAGCCTACACAGCACGAATATTTTAACAGTTTGACAGTTTTGAGAATGCCGTTGCACCACGAAGTTGATCCATAAGATCATCTTTGCACAGTATTGGAAGCTTTTTTTTTTCTATATGTATGTCAGTACCCGATAGTCAATACACATCCGCAAACAAGCGTACAGCTTTGGAGTGAAGAGTACCGGTGCGCCAGAGGGTGATGTGAAGGGTCGAAATAGTCTACGATCCATCAGGTATCCAATCTTCTTCTTCATATCTGCAAGTTCTGTTGGGCTGAGGCGATATGGTCCATGGAAGTTTGGCTTTGAACCTGGTTCTTCCACGATCTTGTACTGGTGAGCTCGCTCCGGTGGCACTCCTGGCGGTATGTCAGCAGTGCTCCTCCAGGAATTTTTGTACTGTTGCAGGTACCTCGGAGTTTGGCCTCTCCTGTTATGCTGCCATCAATGGTGTCAGGTATCCCTGGTTACTCTCGAATCATGCGAGTGTCGCTTAAGAAAATATGTTTGTATCAGCTTTGTAGCTCTACACATTTCCCGTTGTTGTAAATGCAGGCTTTCCCTTTGACACAATCAATCTCGCAGTGAAACCGCTTCAAGAAAAATTTTCCCAAGATGAAATTTGCGCCCTTGATGTTCGTCACTAGTAGTGTAGTCCTCCACCTCAGCGCCTCTATCTGTAGCTGTCGAGAAGATTCGCCGTGGATAGGTAGCTTGTTGTTGTAATGGTGCTGGCGAACAGAATCAAGAAGGTGCTGCAAAAGGTTATACCTGAGCACCTATATGGCTTCATGCCTAGGAAGAAGTTGGCTGATGCTGTCAACGTGAATGCGGATGTTATTGATGTGGCAGCGGCGGGAAACGAGGACTGGTATCTCCTCCTGGTAGACTTCCAAAAGGCATCTTCGATCTCCAGTAGGCAGATATTCAATACTTGGGAACGAATGAGTTTTTCGAAGGAATACGTGAGCTGGACCAAGAGGCTGCACAATCACTCAGGGACGCGAATGCTGATCAACGACTAGCTGGGAGAAAGAGTTGGAATGGAAAGAGGTTTCAGGCAGGGATGTCCACTTGCATCGTACTTATTTATATGTGCTTTAGAGCCACTCGGCCAAGAAATCAAGCAGAGGAGGCTGGGGGTACGGAAAAGAGGGATAGGCAAAATTGAGTATATGGGATATGCAGATGATACAACACTGGTGTTGAACTGGAAGGAACATATCAGCAAAGCGTGTGATCTGCTAGAGGACTTTGGAGGGAGGTCCGACCTCATAGTGAACCAAGATATGAACAGCTGGTCAAAAACAGATGCATCTCACCGCCAACAGATTTACCATGCACCAGGGCTGAAAGAGGGGAGCCGCAAAGACTGCTAGGGATCTGGATCACACCAAGTGGGGCCCCAGAGCCTTTGTGGGAGAACGTGGCTGATCGGGCTAGAGGGGCGATGGTAAAATGGCAAAATCAGCACATCTCAACGTCCTTGTGTTTTACGGTGCTCAACGCATATGCCACGCAGATCCTTCTGTTTCAGGTGCAGATATATCCACCACCATGGGGAACGTGGAAGGAATTCCATGCAACCAGCTACAATTTCACGTCCAGCGGCATATCATCACCTGATAAGTATTTTTTCCCTAGAGCAGTGTGACTGTGGTACTGTCGCAAAAAAAACAGCGGGAAGCACCTGATTCAAGGTGTGCAAGGCCGCAGCAGACGCAGTACCAGAGAGAGCAGACTTACCAGCACCTAGAGCAGCAGACTCACTAGCACCTATAGCAGCAGCCTCTATACCTGGGTCTGGCGGCATACACAGGGAACATTCACCCTCAGCACTAACAGTCAATGCATACATGGCAGCAAGGATAGCATCATAATCAAGAGCAAAGATATCCACACCCTGCCTAAACAGCTCTGCCCAGCAGAGGAGCTCAGTTGCGTCGGGAAACTCTGTGCAGAAGGTGTCGTCAAGACGAAAGAAGCAGCAGTACAATGTGTAAAGCTTCCCGTATGTTTGACCAGAGCGGTCACCTGTGCGAATGACATACGGGCAGCGACTACTACCCCCAGCCGCCCCACGCTGAGCAAACCACTCACGTAGCTCTTGGGGCGAAAGAGTCTCACGCTGACGCTGCTGCTGCTACCTCTGACCACCGCCAAGGCCTCCCCTCTGGCTGGTACCACCTCGGCCGCCACCACTGCCGCCGCCTCTATTCCCACTGCCGCCACCACTACCGCCGCCACCACTCCCACTGCCGCCACCGCTGCCGCCACCTACGCCTCCACCCCCACCACCACTCCCTCCGGCCCCGCCGCCCCCTCCATCGCCTCCACCGCTCCCACCACCGCCTCCACCTCTGCCACCCCACCGCCCCTGCCTCCCCTGCCCCTGCCGTCGCAGCGCCTCCCACTAGGGGCAGACGCAGCTCCCACCTCCTTAGCACGAAGGTAGTCAACAGCTGCAGCAGAGGAGACCGAGGGGAGGGCGAACACCCCTCAAAGAAGGGAGTGCGAGGAGTGCCACAAGAAGCGCCTACAGCGACTATGCTAGTCTTAGCTGCAAGGAGGTGCTTCTCAAGCAGGTCGACAGTGAGGTCTGTAGGGTCAAGGGCGAGAAGGAGGTCCCTGACAGCGCTAAGAGAGTCAGGGAGGCGGGTGACTATGAAGTAGAGAGTGATGTACATGGGAGGAGGGTTCTTGGTGAGGAACTCGGCGGGAAGTGCGGCTCGGTAGCGGACGTCACTAGTGCGAAGGTGAGTGACGGGGTTAGCGATTGAGGCAAAGGTGGACACCTCGAGGAACAGGTAGGGCAGTAGAAGGCGGCCAAGTGAAGCAGTGGCCGGGGAGGAGTAACGAGCGACCACAGCGTCATACAGGGCTTTAGCAGTCTTGTGCTAACCAAAGTGAGCGCGTTTGGCTAACGGTTGCGAACGGCTAGGCAAGCAGCATCCTCATGGGTAAGCCACTGTGAGCGAGTCGCACTGTCAGCTGTGGCAGCAAGGGCGAGAGAGGCTCCATACGTGAGGTCAAACAGCGAAGTACCGTCCTTAGAGTCGCTCAGTAAGTACAGCTGTAAGTCATCGAGCTAAGAATCAAACTCTATCGGGCGGCCCTCCGAATCGAAGGTGAGGACGCTGAGAGTCGCCATAGCGGGCAGAGCAAGCGAGCGCGGTAGTAGCAGGGTAGCTTAAGCAGGGCAGGGTAGGGCGGCGGCTAGCAAAGCTGCGCACAAGCAGGGCAGCGTGGCTGCTAGCGGCGCATGGGCAGGGCAGGGCGCGCTGCTGGTGGCGGCGCGCTGGCAGGGCAGGGTGTCAAACATTATATATGTTGTGCTTGTTTAGGCTACAGTGGGTTAGACTATAGGGGGTACACAATTCTAGGGTTAGGTATTTGTACTGTTTTCACTCTTAGGTCATTCATTCCTGTTCGTTGATTTCCAACATGGTATAGAGCAGGTCCTTCCTAGGACCGATTTTTTTTAGGGCCCACCACTACCTACCTACCTACCTACCTACCTACCTGCGCCCTAGGGCGCCTCGGTTTTCACGGCCCTTAAAGGCCCCGTCGGCCCACCCCTAGAGGCCTCGAACGGCCCACGCGCTCGCCCCTAGCGGCCCCTTTCGGCCCCGCGATCGCCCCTAACGGCCCCGTCGGCCCCTCGCTTACCTCCCTAGAGGCCCCGTCGGCCCCGCGCTCACCTCCCTAGAGGCCCCTTACGGCCCCGTCGGCCCCGCGCTCACCTCCCTAGAGGCCCCTTACGGCCCCGTCGGCCCCGCGCTCACCTCCCTAGAGGCCCCTTACGGCCCCGTCGGCCCCGCGCTCACCTCCCTAGAGGCCCCGAACGGCCCCGTCGGCCCCTAGAGGCCCCTTTACGGCCCCGCGCTCACCTCCCTAGAGGCCCCGAACGGCCCCGTCGGCCCCGCGCCCACTGCCCCTAGAGGCCCCGAAAGGCCCAACGCTCGCCCCTAGAGGCCCCGAGCGGCCGGTGACCGCCACAGCCCGGGACCGAACTGAACCGCGCGACCCGAGCCGAGCCGCGCGAACCAAGCCAAGCCGCGCGACCCGACCTGAACCGCGCCGCCCCACCCAAGCCGCGCCGCCCTACCTGAACCGAGCCGCCCTACCTGCTCCTCCTCCTCCTACTGCTGCTACTTCTACTGCTCCTATGGCTAGCCCACAGGTTCTAGTTTTCGATACTGAGGGCTGCCCAGTGAAGTTTGACACCTGGCTAGATGACCTGCACCTCTATCTACAGCTCACAGCCAAGGACGACATCTCACTGTACGACCACGCCCTAGGCCATGTCACTGCCCCTGCTGCTACTGCTGACAGCACTGCTCGCTCACAGTGGCAGACTCGTGATGCCCTCGCTCGCTTCGCTATTCGCAACTCCCTGCCGATAGACGAACGCGAGGACTTTGGCCAGCACAAGACTGCACAGGCACTGTACACAGCTGTCGTTGCTCGCTACTCCTCACCTGCCTCTGCCGCGCTAGGCCGTCTCTCCCTCCCCTACCTGTTTCCCGACCTGGCCTCTTTCCACACAGTCGCTGACCTCATCACGCACCTCCGTACTAGTGAGGCCCGCTGAGTTCCTTGCCACGCACCCCCCCCCCCACTCTGGCTCACTCTCTACCACCTAGTCACCCGCCTCCCTGACACAGTGCGTGCTGTCAAGGACCACTTCCTAGCTCGCTGCCCCACTGAGCTCACCATTGCCCTCCTCGAGAAGGAACTGCTTGCAGCTGAGACTAGCATAGTCGCTGTAGGTGCCTCTCGTGGCGACCCCCATACCCCGTTCTTTGAGGGGTGTTCTCCTTCCCCCCTTCTTCCCTCTGTCGCATCTGCTGCTGCTGTCGACCTCCTTGGTGCTGAGAAGGTCGGTACTGCGTCTGCTTCAAGCGGGCGCCGCAGCGGCAAGGGCAAAGGGGGCGAGGGTGGTGGCGGTGACGGCGGGGGAGGCGGTGGTGGGGGCGGTGGAGGCGGTGGGGGTGGTGGCGCGACTGGAGGGGCTAGTGGCAGCGGTGGGGGTGGTGGCGGCAGCGGCGCGGGAGGTGGCAGGGGCGGAGGCGGTGGTGGGGGTGGCGGTGGACGAGGCGGCGGCAGGGGTTGGGGTAGTCGAGGAGGTGGCGGCGGCGGTGGTGGTCGTGGAGGCGCTGGCAGTGGCCAGGGCCAGCAGCACACTCCGTCGCCCCAGGAGGTCCGTGAGTGGTACTCTCTGCACAAGGGGGGGGGGTGGCTTTAGCTGCACGTACGTCATTCGCACTGGTGACCGCACTGGTCAGCAGTGTGGACGACCGCACGCCACACAGCGCTGCTTCGCTCGTCTCGACGACGCTTGGCATGTTCAGTTCCCTTAGGCCACTGAGCTGCCCCGCTGGATTGATCTCCTGAAGAAGGGGATTGATATCTATGCTCTAGACTTTGATGCTATTCTATCTGCTATGTATGTGATGTCTACTAGTGGAGAGGGTGCTGAGTACCTGTGTGTACCGCCCGACCCGGGCATTAGGACTAGTGCGTCTGCCGCTCCAGGTACTCGCGTGTCGGCTATCCCAGGTGCTGGTAAGGCAGCTGCTCTAGGTGCTTGTGCGTCTGCCCCCCTTGGTACTGAGTCGACTGCAGCACTGCACACCTTCACACTAGACTCATGTGCCTCTCGCTGCTTCTTTCGTGACCGCACTGCCCTTGAGCAGCTTGCTCGGCCAGTTGCTGTCTCCCTTGCTGACCCCTTTGGGGGTCCGGTCATTGCGACCTCTTCCACTGTCCTTCCCTGTCCTGCGGTCCCGTCGGGCACACAGTCAGGTCTCCACCTCCCCTCGTTCTCTACGAACTTGGTGGCAGGATGTGCGCTCCAGGACGGGGGTGTTCACCAATTCACCCCTGCCTACGAGCGCGTGACACACTGTACGTGTGCTCGTACAGGCCGTCACTTGGCTACCTTCACTTGGCAGCCGGGGTCGAACCTGTACACACTGACCACTGAGTCCCCTCAGGCTGCTGCGTCTGCGTCTGCGTCCGCGTCAGGTCAGCTGTCGGCCCCCTGCTCGTGTCACTCTCTGGCGCACGAGACTGTCCTCGCGCACCACCGCCTTGGCCACCCGTCTGTGCAGCGGCTTCGTGCCATGCACTCCCGGTACCTTGTCTCTGGCCTTCCCAGGGTCCTTCCTCCCCTCCCTCCCTCACCTGCTCCTACCTATCTCCCCTGTGTCGAGGGACGGCGGCGCGCCGCTCCTCACTCCTCCTCGTTTCCCCCGACGACTGCTCCCTTGCAGACGCTCCACATGGACGTGTGGGGCCCAGCCCGCGTCCGTGGTCAGGGTCAGGAGAGGTACTTCCTGATAGTTGTTGACGACTACTCGCGCTACACCTCGGTCTTCCCCTTGCGCACCAAGGGTGAGGTCCCTGATGTCTTGATCCCTTGGATCCGCAGAGCCCGTCTCCAGCTCAGCGAGCGTTTCCACTCGGACTTTCCTGTCCTGCGCTTGCACTCTGACAGAGGTGGTGAGTTCTCCTCCGACCTCTTGGCAGCCTACTGTGCTGAGCACGGCATTGAGCAGTCGTTCACGCTTCCGGCCTCTCCACAGCAGAATGGGGTTGCGGAGCGCCGCATTGGCCTGGTCATGGAGGTCGCCCGTACCTCCTTGATCCATGCGGCTGCCCCCCACTTTCTGTGGCCGTTTGCGGTCCGGTACGCTGCACATCAGCTCAACCTCTGGCCCCGTGTCTCCTTGCCAGAGACCTCGCCCACACTGTTGTGGACGGGGGAGGTTGGCAATGCGTCGCGTTTCCGAGTCTGGGGATCTCGAGCTTTTGTCCGCGATACGTCTGCGGACAAGCTCTCCTCCCGTGCTGTTCCCTGCGTCTTCCTCGGCTTTGTCCCGGGCGCGTCTGGTTGGAAGTTTTACCACGCCACCTCGCGCCGAGTCTTGCCCTCTCAGGACGTCACTTTTGACGAGTCCGTCCCCTACTACCGCCTCGTCCCCTACCGCACTGCCCCGCTCCCCCCCCCTGCCTCTCTTCCTCGCACCAGGTGCTGCTGTTGTAGACCCCCTCCCCCCTCAGGGTGCCGCTCCCTCAGGTGTGTCTCAGGTAGACCCGGTTGAGCGTGCTGAGGTAGCTGTCGAGTCTCGTCCTGCTGGGGGTGCTGAGCCTGGGGGTGCTGAGCCTGGGGGTGCCGGGACTGGGGGTGCTGAGCCTGGGGGTGCGGAGCCTAGGGGTGCGGAGCCTGGGGGTGCGGAGCCTGGGAGTGCTGAGCCTGGGGGTGCTGAGCTTCGGGGTGCTGAGCCGCAGAGTTCGGAGTCTGGGGGTTCTGAGTCTGGAGGTGCTGAGCCTGGGAGTCTTACACCTGGAGGAGCCCTCTCCTCGGAGCAGCTGCGTGAGTGGTACTTACAGTACTGCAGCCTCAGGAGAGGTACCTTTGGAGCCAGGCGTGCTACTGGGACTGGTGCTAGTGCTTCTCCTCCTAGTCGGGAGCTCCCCTCCCGTGAGCGGATCCGTGAGTGGTACGAGCGGCGCTGCACTCTTCGGAGTGGCGCGCCTCGTGTCGCGGACCCTGCTGCCGTGGGTACTGCTGCTGGTGCTGAGGACCCGGGTGTTGGAGCTGCTGCTGGTGCTGAGGACCCGGGAGTTGGAGCTGCTACTGGTGCTGAGGACCCAGGTGTTGGAGCTGCTGCTGGTGCTGAGGACCCGGGCATTGGAGCTGTTGCTGGTGCTGAGGACCCGGGCGTTGGAGCTGCTGCTGGTGCTAAGGACCCAGGTGTTGGAGCTGCTGCTGGTGCTGCGGACCCGGGCGTTGGAGCTCCTGCTGGTGCTGGGGACCCGGGCGTTGGTGCTGGTGGTGGTGCTGAGGACCCGGGAGTTGGAGCTGCTGCTGAGGCTGAGGACCCTGGCGCTGGTGTCTCTGCTGATTCTTGGTCAGCTCCCTCCTCCTTGTCCTCCTCCCTCCTTAGGGTGTCCTTCGTCTGTCCAACTGCAGTCGCAGCTACCGTCTGCCTCCTCTCTCCCTGCTTCTGCTCCTTACACTGGTCCGACTGGAGGTCTTACTGAGCGTCGTGAGCCTGAGTCTCGTCCTGCGTCGCCTGAGCCTCGTCGTGCGTCGCCTGTCCGTACTGCTCTCACTAGTAGTCGTGTCCCACGTCAGAGTCTTCTTGCTGTCCCAGGCACTCACTAGATGGTGCTTCGTCCATCCACTACTCCACAGCGTGTCCCACTGCCGTCTCCTCCTGCTTCCTCTTTTCCTGCTCTTGCTGACCCGGGGTCAGACTCCCTTCGTGCTGCCAGTCCTACTGTCACGCGTCTCCTGGCTACTGTTGTCACTAACCCTTCCTTTGAGTCCGCTGCTGCGTCTGCCTTAGTTGCTGAGCTTGTCGACTTTGCTGCCACCTGTCGTCTAGACTACGCTACTAGCCTGGTTGCTGAGTCTGAGTCTGTCTGTCCTCCGTCCGTCGGGGGTGATTGTGCTCTTGGCATTGACATCCTTGAGGACAGGCAGGAGGAGTTTGAGTGCTTTGCTGCCGCTTTGCCCCATCTCGTGTCCATGCTTGTTGCCCCTGAGGGAGACCCGGATGCACCAGACATCCCTACCCCACGCTCTTACGCAGAGGCGATGGCCGGTCCCTACTCCTCTCAGTGGCAGTCGGCCATGGACACAGAGATGGCTTCTTGGAAGTCCACATGCACCTACGTCGACGAGGTTCCCCCGCCTGGGGCGAACATCGTCAGTGGCATGTGGATTTTCAGGGTGAAGCGGCCGCCGGGCTCTCCGCGTGTCTTCAAGGCGCGTTACGTTGCACGAGGCTTCAGTCAGCAAGAGGGAGTTGACTTCTTAAAGACATTCTCCCCGACCCCGAAGATGACCACTCTTTGGGTTCTGCTGCACGTCGCCGCTCAGCGTGACTACGAGCTCCACTCTCTTGACTTCAGCACTACTTTCCTACAGGGCAGCCTGCACGAGGAGATCTGGCTGCGCCGTCCACCTGGCTTCACTGGGTCGTTCCCTCCTGGTACCCAGTGGAGCCTTCGACGACCAGTCTACGGTCTCCGCCAGGTGCCACGTGAGTGGCACGACACACTTAGGACTACACTTGCGGCTCTTGGGTTTGCGCCTTCTACTGCTGACCCGTCGCTGTTTCTACGCACCGACACCTCACTGCCGCCGTTCTACATCCTCGTGTACGTCGACGACTTGGTCTTTGCCACTGCTGACACTACGGCACTGGCCCACGTGAAGTCGGAGCTGCAGAAGAGACACACGTGCACAGATCTGGGTGAACTGACTAGCTATCTTGGCTTGCGGATCACCCGGGACAGAGCACGCCGTACCATCACCTTGACTCAGTCACACATGGTGCAGCAGGTCCTTCAGCGCTTCCGCTTCACGTACTCCTCGCCTCAGCCTACTCCTCTGCCTACCGGTCACTCGCTCTCAGCTTTGCCTTCGGATGAGTCCGTAGAGCCGGGTGGCCCGTATCCAGAGCTTGTGGGTTGCCTCATGTACCTGATGACCTGCACTCGACCTGACCTTGCATACCCTCTTAGCATTCTTGCACGCTATGTCACTCCCGGCCGTCACCGGAAGGAGCACATGGATGCAGCTAAGAGGGTGTTGCGTTACTTGTGCAGTACGTCGGGCATGGGGCTAGTGCTTGGAGGGCGAGTCCCAGTTGTTCTCACTAGGCACTCAGACGCTTCTTGGGCAGACGACCAGGCTACTTAGCGGTCGTCTCAGGGTTACTCCTTCAGTCTCGGCTCTCGTTCAGTTTCTTGGCGTTCTACTCGCTCTTCTTCTGTTCTCAGCTCCAGTTGTGAGGCTGAGATCTACGCCACAGCCATGGCGGCCCAGGAGCTACGCTGGCTCACCTACTTGCTGACCGACCTTGGAGAGTAGCCTCGTTCTCCTCCAGTGCTGTACGTCGACAACAAGGCAGCCATTGCCTTGTGTCAGGAGCACAGACTGTGATAATTGAAACGAGAATGATTCAACTATAAAAGAGTTGGGTACAAGTACTAACCCTAATTGGGTTGTACCCCATATGGGCTACCCCACTACAGCCTACACAAATGTATAAGCTATATGTTCTGACACACCCCCATAGGCAAAGTGGGGAGAACAAGGGGTCACAAGACCAGTCAAGCAAAGCAAAGCAAAGCAAGCCCAGGGTGGATCACAAAGTCACCACACATTCCGCGCACAAGTTCAAGGCCATAAGGCCAGTTCACATGCAGGATTACATATATATATAAGGCTAGACAAGCAAGAGCAGGTATATATATATGTAACAGTACAAACAAGGTCAAGGGGTGAGCAAGTGAGGCAAGACAGGGACAAAACCCAGCTGAGTGAAGAAGCGCTGATGATCACAAGGCGGAAGTGCCTTGGTGAAAACATCAGCAGTGTTGGCCTCAGAGGCCACGTACGCAAGCCGCAACTGACCACGCTGCTGTAGCTCACGAGCAAGGAAGTAGCGGAGAGCAATGTGCTTTGTTCTGTGCTCCTATCTCTGCTCTCGACACGAGGCCAGCATGGCCTTGTTGTCTACGTACAGGACTGGAGGAGAACGAGGCGGCTCTCCAAGGCCGGTCAGCAGGTAGGTGAGCCAGCGAAGCTCCTGTGCAGCCATGGCCCCGGCGTAGATCTCGGCCTCACAACTGGAGCCGAGAACAGAAGACGAGCGAGTAGCCCGCCACGAAACAGAGCCGGAACCAAGGCTGAAGGTGTAACCCTGGGACGACCGCTGCATAGCCTGGTCGTCAGCCCAAGAAGCATCTGCGTGCCCAGTGAGGACCACTCGACTCCGCCCTCCAAGCACTAGCCCCATGCCCGACGTACTGCACAAGTAGCGCAACACCCTCTTCGCTGCAGCCATGTGCTCTGGTCGGTGTCTCCCAGGAGCAACATAGCGTGCAAGAATGCTAAGAGGGTATGCAAGGTCAGGTCGTGTGCAGGTCATCAGGTACATGAGGCAGCCAACAAGCTCTGGATACGGGCCACTCGACTCTATGGACTCATCCGAAGGCAGAGCTGAGAGTGAGTGGCGAGTAGGCAGAGGAGTGGCCTGAGGCGAGGAGTACGTGAAGCCGAAGCGCTGAAGGACCTGCTGCACCATGTGTGACTGAGTCAGGGTAATGGTGCGGCGTGCTCTGTCCCGGGTGATCTGCAAGCCAAGGTAGCTACGCAGTTCACCCAGGTCTGTGCACGTGTGTCGCTTCTGTAGCTCGGACTTCACGTGGGCGAGTCCAGCAGTGTCAGCAGTGGCAAAGACCAAGTCGTCGACGTACACGAGGATGTAGAACGGCGGCAGAGAGGTGTCGGTGCGCAGAAACAGCGACGGGTCGGCAGTAGAAGGAGCAAACCCAAGAGCTGCAAGCGTAGTCCTCAGTGTGTCGTGCCACTCATGTGGCGCCTGGCGGAGACTGTAGACTGGACGCCGGAGACTCCACTAGGTACCAGGAGGGAAAGACCCAGTGAAGCCAGGTGGGCGGCGCAGCCAGATCTCCTCGTGCAGGCTGCCCTGCAAGAAAGCAGTGCTGAAGTCGAGAGAGTGCAGCTCGTAGTCACGGTGAGCAGCAACGTGCAGCAGTACCCGAAGAGTGGTCATCTTCGGGGTGGGGGAGAAGGTCTGAAAATAGTCAACTCCCTGCTGCTGACTGAAGCCACGAGCCACGTAACGCGCCTTGAAGACAAGCGGAGAACCCGGCGGCCGCTTCACCCTGAAAATCCACATGCCACTGACAATGTTCGCCCCAGGAGGGGGGACAGCGTCAACGTAGGTGCCTGTGGACTTCCAGGAAGCCATCTCTGCATCCATAGCTGCCTGCCACTGAGAGGAGTAGGGACCCTCTATCGCCTCCGCGTAAGAGCGCGGAGTCGGGATGTCAAGTGCATCCGGGTCTCCGTCAGGGGTAAGCAGTACGGACAAGAGATGAGGTGAAGCAGCTGCCAGACACTGGAACTCCTCCTGCCTGTCCTCAAGGACGTCCGTGCCAAGGGCACACTCACCCCCGACGGACGGAGGACAGACAGACTCGGACTCAGCGACAAGACTAGCAGCGTAGTCTAGGCGACAGCGAGCAGCAAAGTCGACGAGCTCAGCAACTAGGGCAGACGCAGCAGTGGACTCGAAAGAAGGGTCAGTGACAACAGTAGCCAGGAGACGCGTGACAGTAGGACTGGCAGCAGGAAGAGAGTCCGACTCCGGGTCGGCAAGAGCAAGAAGAGAGGACTCAGGAGGAGAAGGCAAAGGGGCACGCAGAGGAGCAGTGGACGGACGCAGAGACATCCTGTGCGTGCCAAGGACAGGAGGAGGACGCAGACGCGAACCACGACCACTAGCGCGAGCAGCACGGACAGGCGACGTAGGGCGAGACGCAGGCTCACGACGCTCAGCAAGACCCCCAGTAGGACCAGTGTAGGGAGAAGGAGCAGGCAAAGGGGAGGTAGGCTGCAACTGTAACTGTGACGGGACAGGCTGTGGACACTCTAAGGGAGGAGGAGGACCAGTAGAAGGTGGAAGACCAAGAACGTGCTGCAGTAGTGGAACAAAGTACGGTCGAGGCCACGTGGCGACTCCAGAAACAGCAGGGACAGCACCAGTACCTCCAACAAGAGCACCCGCTCTAGCAGCACCTCCAGGAGCTCCAGAACCTCCAGCAGCACCAAGAGCACCCACAGCAGGACCGCCAGTGGTAGTCTCAGCGCCAACACCCTCAGCAGCACCAGCTCCAGTCGAACCTGCAGGCCCAGCAGCTCCAGTACTCCCAGGACGAGCACCTCCGGGACCCGCGACAGCAGTACCCTCAGTAGCCGACGAACCTCCAGCACCAGCAGCACGCCTCCAGCGCCGGGCAAACCACTCGCGCAGCTCCTGTGGAGAGAGTGGCTCCCGGCGAGACGAAGCACCCGGAGAACCTCCAGGCGGAGCACCTCCAGGCTCAGCACCCCCAGGCTCAGCACCCCCAGGCTCAGCAACCCCAGGCTCAGCACCCCCAGGCGTAGCACCCCCAGGCTCAGCACCCCCAGGCTCAGCACCCCTAGGCTCAGCACCCCCAGTAGCCGAAGAACCTCCAGCACCATCAGCACGGCTCCAGCGCAGGGCAAACCACTCGCGTAGCTCCTGTGGAGAGAGTGGCTCCCGGCGAGACGAAGCACCCGGAGAACCTCCAGGCGGAGCACCTCCAGGCTCAGCACCCCCAGGTGTAGCACCCCCAGGCTTAGCACCCCCAGGCTCAGCACCCTCAGCAGCACCAGAGTCACCAGTGACCTCGACAGGCTCGACTGCGTCTACGTGGGACACACCTGAAGGGGAAGGACCCTGAGGGGGGAGGGGGTCTACCTGGGGGGGACCTGGTACAAGGAAGAGCTGGGGCGGGGGGAGGGACGGAGTGCGGTAGGGGAAGAGGCGGTAGTAGGGGACCGACTCGTCAAACGTGACGTCCTAGGAGGACAGAACACGGCGAGAGGTGGGGTGGTAGAACTTCCACCCAAGCGCGTCAGGCGGGAACCCCAGGAAGATGCAAGGAGCAGCACGAAGGGACAGCTTGTCCGCAGACAAGTCGCGGACAAACGCCCGAGATCCCCAGACCCGGAACGCCGACGCATCGCCAACCTTCCCCGTCCACAGCAAGGCTGGGGAGGTCTCCGGCCTGGAGACCCTGGGGTGGAGGTTGATCTGATGCGCCGCGTACCAGACCGCAAACGGCCACAGAAAACGGGGGGCAGCCGCATGCATCATAGACATACGAGCGACGTCCATGACCAGGCCAATGCGGCGCTCAGCAATCCCATTTTGCTGCGGAGAGTCCGGAAGCGTGAAGGTCTGACGGATGCCCCGTGCGCGACAGTAGGCTCTCAGAAGGCCAGAGGAAAACCCCCGCCTCTGTCCGACTGCAGACGCAGAACAGGAAAGTCCGAGCCAAAGCTCTGCCTGAGCTGGAGACGAGCTGCGCGGATCCAGTCGATCAGCACCTCAGTGACATCACCCTTGCTGCGCAAGGGGAAGACTGCGGTGTAACGCGAGTAGTCGTCAACAACTAGCAGGAAGTAGCGCTCGTGACCCTGTCCACGGACGCGGGCTGGGCCCCACATGTCCATGTGAAGCGTCTGCAACGGAGCCTCTGTCGGAGGAAACTGGGAGGAGTGAGGGGCAACACGCTGGCGCCCCTCGACACAGGGGACACAGGTAGGGCCAGGGCCCTGAGGAAGGGGAGGGAGGGACCGGGAGAGACCAGAAACAAGAAGACGAGAGGCCATGCCTCTGAGCCGAAGCAGAGAGGGGTGACCAAGGCGGTGGTGCCAGAGGAGAGTCTCGTGAGACAGGAGACGACGAACAGGGGGCAGACTCAGGACCAGACCTGGACGCTGCAGCAAACACCTGACCCGACGCAGCTACCCAACCAGGCTCAGCAACTGGAGGAGACGCAGAGGTCAGTGTGTACAGGCTTGACCCCGGCCGACGAGTAAACGTGGCCAGGTGTCGGCCTGTCCGAGCGTCCGTGCAGTGGGTCACCCGCTGACTCGCAGGAGTGAACTGGTGAACCCCCGCATCCTGCAGGTCAGCACCACTCACCAAGTTCGTAGAGAACGAAGGGAGGTAAAGACCAGACAGGGTGCCAGAGGGGGCCGCCGGACACGGGAGGACAGTGGAGAAGTGAGCAAGGACAGGGCCCCTAGAGGGGTTTGCCAGCGAGACTGCAACTGGCCGACCAAGCAGCTTGAGT